CGACTATGCCTTATTGTATTTAGTGATTTGAAAAGGCTTATTATTGCGAAGTTAAAGTTGAATATATAAAAAACGATTTGATCGTATTTGGTTATTCTTTATTTTTTTGCGATTTTATAAATTAATTTTTTTTTTTTTTTTTTTATTTAACATAAGTAAAGTGTGCAAATTAAGAGTTTAAATAACACTATCGACCTCTAATAGAGAACCAATTTTTTTAATAAAGTTAATAAAAAAAAAAATTAGAATATATTTTTTTAAAAAAAAGAGAATTTAGAAAATGGAAGAGAACAATATTTACGGCATCACTTCATTTTTAGTTATTAATTTAAACTGTCAAAATATTAGGCCAACGTATTAGATAAATTTAAAGATCAGTATAATGTAACAAAAATAAAATCTAAATATTTTTCTTTATAAAAAAAATGAGTTCACGAATAAATAATGAGAATTTAGCTCTTTGAGTTATCTTCATTCGAAAAAGTAGAGTTATTAATAAGTAAAAAAAGTATCATTTAAGTAAGAATGTGTTGAACAATTAGCATGATTAAAGAAACGACATATTGTTTGCTTTGCTTAATGTCATTACATACTAGAAGAATATTTATATGGTATTCGTTATCTTTATCTTAAAATTAAAAGTTTTAATATCAAAAGGTAACTTTTGAATTTATAAGTTTTTAAATTATAACTTCAGGTATTTTTTTTTTTAAATAGTTTATGACAGTCAAGTCTTATGCTGAGAATATAGTCAGGAAATTAGTGGCTTAACCTGTCACAGGTTACGGACGTGCCACTAGAAGATTCTGGCATAAAAGCTACCTTCTTTATCAATGGTCACAACGAAGATGATTATTGTATCTACGACTATGCCGAAATTATACAATGTGCTTACTCTTCAGTTCATCTAATCGCCCATCACACATGGTCCCACTCATATTTGACCGGAGTCGATTCTGATGAAATAACCTACCAATTGGATTTCTTAAACACTGCTTTTAAGAAAATTCTTGGTGTTACTCCATAATATTTTCGGCTTCCGTATGGTGATGATGTCAATAGTTCGGCCATAAGATCTGCTCTAATAGCCAACGGAATGGATAAAGTCGTAATATGGGATGTGGATCCACAAGATTCTATAGATGGTGTCACCGAATCGCAGAGTGAAGAAACTTTTGATCAAGAGATTTGTGATCTAAATCCCCATATCGTGATAAGTCACGATAGGATTGAAACTGAGTCAACTAACAATGGGTATCAATTTGATACAGTGGCTGGGTGTGTCGGAGATGGGGACTCAAGCAATTGGTATAATGTTGATACTGAGTCATTTGGTACAAGGGACGAAACTTGGACATGTACTTCAGATGATATGCATAATTCGTTTGATACATCACCTAACAGAGTTGTAGCTATAAATATTAAACCGTTTAAAATTTTACTATATAAACCGAACTAGCTTATTATTTTTAATTTTTAAACCAGTCTGGATAATTAATGTTTCTAGTTGCGGCCTCTATATAAATAACCTGAATAAATTTGTCAATTTGGAAAATTACTTGATACATAATTTAATATTTAGACATCAGTATTGATTATTGTGATTAGCCGGCTGATGAAACTATAAACGGTTGGTTTAATCAGTTTGGAATACTAGATTCTTGGATAAATTTGTTAACGGATGTTTTGGTGAAACTTAGACGTGACTTGACGATAGTCAAAATACACAATCCCAACTAGGGATGGGTTCGGTCGGTTACGATCAATTACGGTCAGTTATTCTCGATTATTGACTTATAGCCGGTTAATTGCGATCAGTTATATAAGGCCCTCAATTATTTGGATTTTTTGCTCTTCTATTTCTAATAAAAGTTTTAGAGGAAGAAATTCCGGTTATAATGATGGTTAAGCCTCTAAAACTGACTCATGTGAGCATTTTAATTCTCACGACTATATGTTTTCTTTTTTATTTACTTAAATAAGATCGCGAAAATTAAAACATTCATATCTCATGATATACTGGATTGATTTTAGCGTTTTGATCATTGCAACAAAATTGTCACGGGTGATCTACAAAATTTTGGCCCGCATTACATAACTGTTCTGTTTACATAATCTTTGGCCAGAATTAACTTTTTAATTTTTCTTCCAAAAATAAATTTTTAAAAAATAGGCCCGGACTAATTTTCACTTAATGGTAATTCCAGCCTAAATTTTTGATCATTGCTCTTAGTCAATCAAAATCGAGAATCTGTTGTGAAGCTTTGTAGCGGCAGCTACGTTTTAATCATCATTATAAGGAATTCCTTCATCGACAACTTTAAATAAGAGAGAGGTTTACTTAGTAAAAATTGTTTTATTTTTAAGAAGCTCTAAATTCTAAAAAAGCTAAATTACTTATAATTAGTCGTAGGTTTTTATGTAAATTATAAATTAAATACAAGGTGGCTGCACAACATAGTGCGCTAAACCAGGAACGGGAGATTTCTCGTCGATTGGTTATAATAGATTTATATATAATAATAATAATTAAAAATTATATAAAAGGATTTCAATTATTCCGAAATCACAGATTGGCCGAAAATCATTCGGCAGGTGTTCCAGAATTTTTGATAACAGGAAACAAAATCATGTTTTTTTTTAAAAAAAAAAAATCTGGCATCTGTTATGATTTGGCCGGTCAGTTAAACCGTTCTAACTGGCTGGCAATGGTTACAGCTATAGCCGATTACAAACGGCTAATCCCAACACAAGTACAGTATTCAATTCTTGATAAATTTAGTCTCAATAAGGTTTACTAAAGTATGTCACGAATAAAGAAATAATAAAAGCAGAACGTGGAACATCGAACTTGTTTTTATTAGAATTTCAGTTATTCATATCGATATACAATGCTTTAAATTTTTCGAGAGCTTTTGCTATATACTATATTTCAATTCTCAAAAAATAATCATAAAAATAACACATAATTAAGATAATAATAATGATGATGATGATGATGATGACGACGACGATAATAATAAATCAGTAAATTGAGTTAATGAAATTTTTTTTTCGTAATAATAATAGATAATAAGTAAATGATGAATGAAAGTATAGGAATATTGACATTCTGTCGCTATGTAAAATGTTTAAGTGTATAAATTTCGAAAATGACTAAGGAGTAGGTGCTACTAGCAGAGCTGCACAACCCACCATGCAAAGACCTTGCGCAGCATTACAGCCAAGTATAACAAGAGGTGTACCTGCTCCCGCGGTGACCGTTCCTTTTTAAATAAACAATTAGCATTACTTATTATTAAAGTTATATTTTAAAAGCTAAAATTACTGCTTGAAAGTTTAAAGAATAAATAATATATACCAGCAACGAAGCCGGCGGCAGCATAACATGATACCCAGATAACATTACATCCAGTCTGGCATAGGCCATATGCTATGGGACCCGCATTAACGATTAGAGAGAAACTTAGGAAAATAATAGCGATTGCAAAAATTTTTTGATTCATATTGCAATAAAATTTGTATGATTTATGAAATAAAAACTGTTATCGTTATGTCCATTTTATAGTGTTAATTTTTATATTTCTACGCGTATACCATTTTGGAAACAATGACTTCTTTTGTCGCACATTACACACCTGATATCACTTTTCTTGGGTCGCACCTGCGTTTAATTTCGGTCCGGCGCAGCTTTGGGCGCATGGAGTAGCAATTCCAGGAACAATTCATTTTGTGAATTTTCTTAATGATGAAAATATTTTTCACGAAATTCATTGTCACATAGATTTATTTCTTTTATGACGTTCACCCTGACTCCATTATGGAAATGTCAGATGGAGGTAAGATAATGCGTAAAACAATGGGTTCATTTTTAAAATAAATACATGAAAAAGTTTTTTGTTTACATGATTGCAGAAGATAAACCAGTTATTTTCCTGGATAATTAGATATGACGATAAGTAAAAATTTACAGGAAAAGCTACGCAGATGATATTTTCCAGTGAAGTTTTGTTTATACTTTGAGGGTATAACTATTACAATACACAACTACAGTATTACACATATGCAAAACATCAAGTTAAAAAATTATACTTTGGATTTAACAACCATTATCATGTCAAAAAATATAACTATTGGACATAGACCAGTTTCTTTACTTAATTGGGCAAAAGAGATAACATACTATAATTTATACATATAAATTTATGAAAAAAAACACAACATTTTAATAAAAATTATACATCTGTACAGAAACATAAATATCTTAAAATGCAATAACTATATAGTAACGACGTAGTAATTACATAATTACTCAGTTACTGTGCATTAAGAGATTTAAGTTTCTACGTATATAGATAAATTTGGCTTTAAACTTTAAGTATATATCGTTTTAACAGTTTTTATCCAGGTTTAATATTAAATATCGAGTAGTTTTAAATCAAAAATCAAAATTAAAATAATACAGTGCAAGACTCTTTAAGCCAACAATGTTTTTTTTAAAGTGGCCAAATTTGCGACAAAATACTGAATTTTGATTGGCTAATAGCTTAAAATTTTTATTATGTTTTAAAATTTCATTAAATTTTTTTAAAATTTCGTTATGATTTCATATATTAAATGGCCAAGTTTTTATTTTATTAATAACTTTAAAAAGAAATAACAATGTCAAATTTATCTATATTAAAAAAACAAACTTCATAGCTTTGTTCTGCTTGTTTTTCGTGTATTTTTATAAAAGAACATATTTTTATTTTTTTTATGTAATTAAAATAACTTTTAAGAAGAGGGGTATAATCCGTAAATTAGATATTATATAAAGTATTTTTGTATAAATTAAAGAAAATTATTAAGTAGATCGTTTTTTATACTTTTGAAAAAATTGTACGTATAATACAGTAGATTAATTGATTTTTAATTTGTATCGCTAATAAGACATTATTATATAAAATATTATAATTTATAATATTTTTGTATGTGTTTGCATCGAGCATTTTGAAATTCACAAAGTCACAACTTTAGGCCATGCAAAATTAATTAATTGGTTTTCATAACCCGGCCGGGTCAAAATTTGAAAATTTCAAAAAAAAATTTTTTATATGTTTTAATAACCGGGTGGGTTTTAAAAAAAAAATTTTATAAATTTTATAAAATTTTATATATGAAATT